AGCCACCCAGGCGCCCCATAAGCTTTTATTTTTAAGTCATCTCCACACTTGACATGGGGCTCGAACTCACAACCCTGAGACCAAGAGCCCTATGCTCTACCGACTGAGCCAGCCAGGTGCCCCCCCTCCCTCCAACAAAGCGTTTTGAAAGTCATTCTCTCTTTATTCAGGATACTGTGCCCCAAACGGATTATGTATAAATGTCACTCAAAGAAGATCCTCTTGCTTAAACACAGAACAGTGTGTGTGTGTGTGTGTGTGTGTGTGTGTGTGTGTGTGTGTCTGGGGGGGAGGGGCACATAGATGGGTGCCTGAGAGGCAGAGCTACAGTAAGGGGAATGTTTTATTTATTTTGCAAGAGAGTGCGAGGGAGGGGCAAAGAGAGAGGGAGAGAGAGCATCCCAAGCAGGTCCCTTGCTGTCAGTGCCGAAATCAAGCGTCAGACTCTCAACCAGGCACCCCAAGGTGAAACAGTTTTTTAAAGCCCATCCACGTCCAAGTCCTGAATGTCCCCCTCTTGAGGTCAGTGCTGCATTTGACCGGGACATTCTCGGAGCTTCCCTGTGGGCGGGGCTGCCTTCCCAGGCAGGACCCCTTCAGTGGGTGGCCAATTTGGTGTTTAGGAAGACTCAAGAGGCGGCAAGTCTGGCCCGTGTGGCAGGGGAGGAGGCCGGCCTTACAAGGTGCTGTGGGGCCAGAAGGTCGTAACCAAGACATATATGAGAGACAGGATTCGAAGCAGGCGGAGAGCTCTCGATCGTGAGCCAAAACCAAGAATCAGATGCCTAACCGATTGAGCCTCCCAGGCGCCCCTCTCCTGGTTACTTCTTTTTTTAAAAAAATTTTTTTGAAGTTTATTTATTTTTGAGAGGGAGGGGCAGAGAGAGAGGGAGACACAGAATCCGAAGCAGGCTCCAGGCTCCAATTAAATAAACAATCATTTAAATAAACGATACAAAGAAGTTAAAAAGGATAAAAATAAAATGCCTGCCATTCTTACCTCCTAGAAGCAGCCGCACGTGTCGCCCAGAAGAAAGACACTCCTTGGGATGTTTGTCTAAAAACATTTCACATTTTCTGTGAAATCAAACATATTTAGCCTTTTCTGTCTAGTGAAGTCTTGTCATTTTTACTTCCTTAAATATTTCTAATTGAGAGGTAAGGGACCTAGAGCACTGTGTTTGTTTTAGGTGTACAACATAACGATTCAATATTTGTGTATATTGTGAAATGATCACAGTCTAGTTAACATCTGTCACCACTTGTAATTTATTTTATTTAAAAAATTTTTTTATGTTTTTATTTTATTTTTGAGAGAGAGAGCGAGTGAGAGAAAGGGTCGGGGAGGGGTAGAGAGAGAAGAAGACAGAATCTGAAGCAGGCTCCAGGCTCTGCACTGTCAGCACAGAGCCCTATGTGGGGCTTGAACTCACGGACCGTGAGATCATGACCCAAGCCGAAGTCAGACGCCCAACTGACTGAGCCTCCCAGGCGCCCCTAATTTATTTTCTTCTGGTGAGAACTTTTAAGATCTACTCTCTTACCACCTTTTACATGCACCATACGGTATTATTAACTAACGTCCCCATGGCGTACACTGCCTCTCCACGACTTATCTGGTTTATACCTGGAAGTTCGTACCTTTTGACCCCTTTCACCCATTTCGCCTGCCTAGCTCTGGAAAGTACCAGCCTGGTCTCCCTCTGAGTGTGTTGGTTTTTAGATTCTACATATAAGTAAGGTCATACAGTATTTGTCTTGTTCCGTCTGACTTATTTCACAAGCATTATGTTCTCGAGGTCCATCCCTATTCTCACAAATGACAAGATTCCCTTGTGGTTTATGGCTGAATAATCCTCCATTGTGTATATGAAAGCCATATTTTCTTTATCTGTTCACCTGTCCATGGACACTTAGGTTGCTTCCATGTCTTGTCTGTTGCAAATAATGCTGCAAGGAACACGCAGCTGCAGATACCTTTTGGAGTTAGTAATTTTGTTTCCGTTGGAGAAATACTGGGAAGTGGAATTCCCGAATCACGTGGTGGTTCTGTTTTTAATTTTTTTTAATTTTTTAAGTGTTTATGAATGTTTGAGAGAGACACAGAGCACAAGCAGGGGAGGAGCAGAGAGAGAGGGAGACACAGAATCCAAAGCAGGCTCCAGGCTCTGAGCTGTCAGCACAGAGCCCGACGCGGGGCTCGAACTCACCAACCGCGAGATCGTGACCTAAGCCAAAGTCGGACGCTCGACCGACTGAGCCCCCCAGGCGCTCCCTGTTTTTAAATTTTTTGAGGACCTGCCACACTGGTTTCCATAGTGGCTGCACCAGTTTACATTGTCACCATTTGCGGCCTGTAGTGGCGCTTTGCTGTCATGCATGGTTGCTACCATCTGCTTAAGTGCAGAAACACGATGGCTACAACGAGCGTAATCAAAAACGTGACTCTGCAGAAGAGGGTGGAGAGAATTCACGAGTTCCAGCTTCTAAATCACTATTTTGGACAAGTACTTGAAGTCAGGCGCTGGACAGAACACACCCGGGGAACTTGTTTGCTGCTTTCCACCATCTCTCCACCAGCTCCCGGCCACCAGCCGACGGCATGGATATCACCTGCTGTTTGGAGAGTCTCAGGACCGATTGCATTTAATAATTCGTCCGACTTCGGCTCAGGTCCTTATCCCGACGTTTGTGGGTTCGAGCCCCTCATTGGGTTCTGTGCTGACAGCTCAGAGCCTGGAGCCTGTTTCAGATCCTGTGTCTCCCTCTCTCTCTGCCCCTCCCCTGTTCCACCTGCACTCACTCGCTCTCTCTCAAAAAATAAACATTTAAAAAATTAAAAAATACACACAAGGGCATATTTTTCTTTCCATAAGCGATTTAGTGAGATTTTTCGGGACTTTTTCAGTATCTCTGTGCTGGTTAAAAGATGGGAGGTTGTTTTTCATTCTGAAAACTTGATTTTTAAAAAAATATTGACTTTTTCAAGACTAAAATGGTATATGCTTTGGGAACTTTGAAAGTCTGAGAATACTGGCTGCTCATGGTTGTCACCATGTTCTTACAAAATTATTTTCTGTTGAGTTCATGCACTTATCCTTAGAGGATCAGTAACGTTTAGGGAAAGATTTATGGGCTTAGGCAGGAATCTCGATACCAGCTCACTGTAATATATTTTTATCTATTCAGATTAAACTTAATGATTATTTCACTTTTGTTTAGGGGTTTTTCTGATGATCTTTTATGAAGAATCTTTTCTAAGGCACTGTTCCCTTGCCTTTTTTGTGCCCATGTTTCAGAAAATAGCAAACTTGATTCCTCTGCTTCCACTAAATACCGTTGTGACAAAATCACATTTGTGAGGTATGAGAGAAACGGTACAGAAATAAGGGCACCTCTCGCTCTACCCCTCCCCTGCGTGTGCAGTCTCCCTCTCTCAAACATAAATTAAAAAATAATAAAGGTTACGGAAATAAAATAACAAAACTTGGGAAAACATTGCAGGCAGGTACATTAACATATTTCATTCGTCCTTAGTCCCAACCTTACATGGCTACATTTTTTTTATGTTCATTTATTTTGAGAGACAGAGAGAGACAGAGGAAGGAGGAGAGAGAGAATCCCAAGCAGGCTCTGTGCCGTCAGCGCAGAACCTGACGCAGGGCTCGATCTCATGAACTGTGAGATCGTGACCTGAGCCAAAATCAAGAGTTGGACGCTTAACTGACTCAGCCACCCAGGCGCCCCCTCATTGCTACATTTGTTAATAGTGTCCTGTGCATAAGTGTTAAGTATACCTCTAAGAAAAACGCTACAGTAGAGTGACCTTACTGTAGCAAGTTGCTCTTCGAAGTTGAGGAGTGTCCGTTTCCCCGACTTATAACAGCGTGGATTTTACCCAATGTTTTCATCTTGGCTAGGTGATGGGTGGGAAAACATCTTCCCCCTCCAGAGCCCTGGCTCCCTCTGATGGCACAGCGCATCTCAGACCGTAAATAATTGCCTACATGTCCGGTTGTGGTGACCACGATGCCCAGACAAAATCGCCTTCTTTGCCTCCTGCACCCCACATGTATTTCACAAGTGTCATCGGTCCTGTGATCCCTTTTGAAGGACTGGGTAGGCTGTGAAATTAAAATGATCATCTTTTTATAAAAACCACCCTGACACGTGACCGCCGGCTTTAGCAAGCTCCTTGCTTAGGATTGGGCTTGCGGTGCTCTTGCAGTGGGTTGTACCTATTGACTTTGAACTTCCACTATTTCGGGACAGGACGCTGTCACTGGGGGAGATTTGGCTGGTTTCAAATAACGGTTAACCCTTCGTGCGCTGTCTCTGTGCTCCTGAGAGCCCGCTTTGTTGTCTGGGTCGGGGGAAGGGCACAAATGCCCCTTTGCAGTTGTTGAGGAAGGATTCAGAGGGTTTTCAAAGAGGTTTTTTTTGGTCTGGCCAGAGATTTTCTTCCCATGAATACAAATGTAATATAAATAGTCCGAGCGATACTCTTAAAAAAAACATTTAGAAGCAGCTGGCCTAAAATTCCTCGGTGTGCCTTTTCTCAGGCTGTGGCAGCATGAGCAGCCCAGAGAAGACCAGAAACTTTAAAATGCTCAACTGGTCTTGCCTTCATGGGTCTGAGTTCCAGTTGACCAAGGGGACTTAGAAATGAGCCTCTCTCCGACCACCTGGGTGGCTCAGTCGATTAAGTGTCCAACTCTTAATTTTGGCTCCAGTCATCGTCTTGTGGTTTGTGAGTTCAAGCCCTGCGTGGAGCCTGCTTAGGATTCTCTCTCCCTCTCTCTCTGCCCTATCCCCACTCTCTCTAAACAAACATTTTTTTTTAAGTAATAAAAAGAAACCTCTCTCACTCTCTCTCTCTCTCTCTCCCTCTCTCTGTGTCTCTCTCTCTTTCTCTCTCGGAGGTCTCCTGGCTCGTCATCTTCTTGTTTCGTAGTGGAACTGAAGGAATTGGCTCTATTGATAGAAACATTTCTGCCTAGGTGCTGTATAGAGTAAGGACTAAGAAATAGCCCTGGCCCAAGTTCAAGAACATGGGGAAGTGGAGAACCGTCTGGGAGCTGAACAGGAAGCAGTTTCAATTGGAGAAAAGTTGCAAGGCTCAGTGATGTCTTCATGAGAATTGGAACCCTTCAGCTTTGCTCCCCAGCCCCCTCCCCCGCCCTCCGGGCCCGCAGGCACCGCGCCAGCATCCGGGTGTGACATCTTCTGCAGCTGCCCTCGTTCACATTAAAGACCTTGCTGGATGCTGAGAAGAAATCAGAGCATCCGCTGAGAGCAGATCGTTTTCAGTTAGGGGGTTAACGGGCTGTGAAGGGCAACCACCGCATCTGACTTCAAAGAGGACCATGGTCAGAATGAACAGACCCCCCTCGCCTGAACTCAGCGTGAGTAGCAAGGGGCTTTGCTGCAGAGTGACATTCTGGAAACAGCCACTGAGGCAGACGTGTGTCTGCGTGCAGTGGAAGCCCTTCCTGTTAAGTCTTTCCTTCCGGGCAGGAGTGCAAAATCAAAGGAGCCCCAGAAGGCGCCAGGCGAGCCCTGAGGACGCAGGGCAGACCCTGGGCCCTGCCGGCAAGAGGCTTCGAATCTGGCCTGAAATGCAGTTGTCCAGAGGGCCAGCTTAGAGAGAGTAATATTGCATGATTAACGTCATTTGGTTGCGGTAAGCAGCAGGCAGGAAGCAGAGGAAGCAGCCTAAGTCAAAGTCAGGGAACATGACAGAGACATTTGTATGGGTATCAGGAGCAGGTAGGGGCTCGGGGCTGTGAGTTCTTTTTTGTAAAGATGATAAACTGAGGGAAGGCAGGTGCAGCCGCCAGCGTGAACTTGGGAGGAGGCATGAACTTGGGAGGAGGCTAACAGATCAAGTGAGCAGCAGGGAAAAAGATCCCAGAGCTTTTGAGATCAGTTTCCCCATGACCGAGACCAGACTTTTATGAGAAAGGACTCGTCACCGCTTCAGAGAGATTATGGGAACAGTAAGCCAAAAATACTAAAATCAAGATAGTGTTTTAAAAATAGGACTTCCTTTCAGACAGCCCAGAGCTGGCATATGTTAAATGTACGAAATTTTAGAAGCAATAAAAGTAGATGGCCGTTTCTTGCTCTAATGAAAGATATCACCAGCCTGAGTGTAATAAAGGAAAACAAGACATTTTTTTCAGGTTCTGCAAACAATAAAAATGGTTACCCTTTGTTGCCTTTCTGTGCCCTCCCCCACCCCGCCCCCAGCTAGGGATGGCAAAGAGGACTATCTTGTAAAAAAAAAGAGGTGGTTGGCTGACAAGGAACACACATAAACACCCTCCCAAAGAATAACAACATTCCCAGCATTATTGAATGCCTTTTACATTTCTTTTCTTTTTATTTCTCCACAAAGGGAAAGAGAAATAGTTTTGAACTCCGGAAAAATCTGAGTCCTGCTCCTAAATATGGCAATCTCCGGCAGTCTTGTGGGCCCGGGGGAAGAATGGTTTACCCAGGCCAACATTCTGTGCCAACATGAACCTGTGCTTGGCCACGGGGCCATTTTATCCCCCACTGAACTGTGGACGGGGCTACATGTGGGTAGAGCTGACCCAGTGCCTCACTCTACAGGAAGATATACCTGAAGTGGTGGGCACAGACTCTGTATACAGACTAGCCCATCCTAACCTGTGAACCCTAAAGTTGATGGGGGGCACCCCGGTGACCCCCCCTCCCCTACCTTCAGCCAACCCCACAGACCACGGGGGCCAAAGGACTTCCTGAATGACAGATCCAGGCTCCCTCACTTCCTAGCCATGCTAACCCAAGCCGCCCCCACTTGGTAGATGACAAACATGTGCAGGTGGGCGATCAAATCTATAAGATACTGACTCAGTTCCTTTATTTGAGTCAGGAATGACTTTACTCACAAAAGCAATTATGTATGCCAATTAAAATTAGACCTCGGAGCAGCTCAATGGAAGGAAAAAACAAAAGCCAACTTAGGCAGACTTCTGTTTCCAAGTTTTATAAATACTGGTTTGGAGCGCCTTTGATTCGTTTTGTTCTCAAGTGAGCTCAGAAAGTTGGGATGTTTATCACCAGGGGTGGGCATGATAAAACCAGAAGCGTGCCATTATTTGATCCCGTTTTTTTTTTTAATGTTTTTTATTTGTTTCTGAAAGAGAGAGACACAGCATGAGCAGGGGAGGGTCAGAGAAAGAGGGAGACACAGAATCCAAAGCGGGCTCCAGGCTCTGAGCTAGCTGTCAGCACAGAGCCCGACGCGGGGCTCGAACCCACGAACCGTGAGATCATGACCTGAGCCGAAGTCAGACGCTTAACTGACTGAGTCACCCAGGCGTCGCCCCTATTTGATCCTGTTCTATTGGGGGAAGTATAATGGCCATTTAATTTGGGCTCTGGCTGACTCTGGGGCTTGACCAAATTACTCACATGGGTTGAGGTTTTCCTTGGAATTGTGGAGCAGAGGTGAGTCCTTTTCTGCCACTGTGAGCAGGGAAGGGGGTGGGGGACAGCAGTTCAATTCCTCGAGGGCTGCCCGGGTTTAGCAAGTGGCTTCTCCCCTAGTTTCTCCCCCTACTCCCTAGGCAAGGGTTTTGTTTGTAGGGTTTTTTTAAATTTATTTTTTATTAGAAAATTTTTTAAAACATTTGTTTATTTTTGAGAGACCGAGCGTGAGTGGGCGAGGGGCAGAGAGCGAGGGAGGCACAGAATCTGAAGCAGGCTCCAGGCTCTGAGCTGTCCGCCAGGCTCGAACTCAGGAACCAATGAGATCATGAACTGAGCGGAAGTACGATCCTTAACCCACTGAGCCACCCACGCACCCCTGTGGGTCTTTTTTTTTTTTTTTTTTTTTTTTTTGTTAAACCCAGTCACTGTTTTCACCTCAAGGCAGAGTTGTTTCAAGGATTAAATTCAACTAGCGCAACTATACTGGCAACACCCCTCCCCCCTGCCACTTAAGTTTGCAGACGGAAAGTCTGGAAATAATTTATACCGTTTATGCTATTTAAGTACATTTCTAGGCTATTGGGGGGGTGCGGTTGTATTAGCAAACTAAATGTTTCCTTTGACATTTCTGGGGTTTCAAGTGTGATTTTAACATCATCCCCAAGCAGCTTCTTAAAACACAAAAAACCAAAACATCTTAATGGCCCCATTGTCAACACTGTCAGTCATTTCCGTTTTCCTTAGTGCCGCATCTCACCCATTGGAGGGTTGAGAGAGCTTCATGGGGTCGACAGATCAGGTCAGTGGCGGTCCACACAGGGTGAGGCCCGGGGCGGGATGGCGGGAGAAGACCCCGCGAGGACCCGAGGCCACTGACAAGGAGGCTACCCGCCGTCGTCAGCCCATCTGCCCTGGAGTGGGTCCGGGAGGAAGGCTGTGACAATGGAGTGGAAAGTAATTCGCCCGTGATAGCGGGGGCCCTGCTGAATACACGGAAATCTCAGCTCCCCCATTCCCCCCCGGCCCAAGCACCAAGCATCGCACCGACTCGGAGCATCTGGGAAGCAGCTTTCGGGGTGATCAAGCCGGAGGTGCCTCACCTGGCACAAGTGTGTGGGCCGGGACACGTGCAAACGTCCCGAGGCGAAACGAAGAAAAAAGTGGAAGAAGGGTGGGGGTGGGGGGTGTGATCCACAAATGCAACGGGAGGGGGAAGTGAGCTGTCCCGTGCAAGCTCCCAGATCCACTGTGGGGGGGGGGGTTCCCGGGGCACCCCAGTACCTGACTCCAGCCGGGCCAGGAAGGCCACCGAGCGCGTGGCAGGGCTGCACGTTGGTTTGCTTTGGCTCTTTTGTTGTCACACTTGAAAGCCAGCCCGGAAGCTGATTCTTCCTCCTCCCCCAGGCCAGCTTCGAAGGCTGAGTGAAGTGTGATTAAAATGCGGCCCGCGTGTATTCCTGAGTTATTCCACCGTAGGGCAGGGAGCCTCAGCCAAGCCAACTGCAGGCTGTCGCAGCGAGGCCCCGCTGCCTCTGATGGCAGTGAGGCTAGCCAACCAGCTGCGCTTACGGCCCGGCTGGTCACTTAAATCATCAGGGGGACACACAACTCTTTGGAGTATGACTTTGGATCTTTAAGCAAACAGTTTTGTTTTGTTTTTTAATTATTTCAAGACACGGGGACACAGAGAGAGAGAGAAAAAAAGCACAAGTGGGGGAAGGGCAGAGAGAGCGGGGACAGAGGATCTGAAGTGCTGACAGCAGAGTCCCATGCGGGGCTCAAACGCATCAACCCTGAGATCATGACCTGAGGTGAAGTCAGACAGATGCTTAAACCAACGGAGCCACCCAGGCGACCCGACAGTCCTTTTTTCAGAAGCGCAAGGTGGGGGGCCTGGGTGGGTCAGTCAGTTGAGCATCTGACTTAGTTTCGGCTCAGGTCATGATCTCATGGTATTTTGGGTTCGAGCCCTGCATCGAGCTCTGCGCTGTAAGTGCCGAGCCTGCTTGGGATTCTCTCTCTCTCTCTGCCCCTCACCTCTTGTGCTGTCTCTGTCTCTCTGAAATTAAATAAATAAATAAATAAATAAATAAATAAATATCTCCTTTCCGTTTTATCATAGGTCTTTTTAGGAATAGGTCTTTTTAAATTTTTATTTTTAAATTTTTATTTATTTATTTTTTACTTTTTAATGTTTTATATTTCTGAGAGAGAGAGAGAGCGCGCGAATAGGGGAGGGTCAGAGAGAGGGAGACACAGAATTGGAAACAGGCTCCAGGCTCTGAGCTAGCTGTCAGCACAGAGCCCGTCGCGGGGCTCGAACCCACGAACTGTGAGATCATGACCTGAGCCAAAGTCGGACACTTAACCGACTGAGCCACCCAGGCGCCCCGGAATAGGTCTTTTTTTTTTAAATTGAAGTATTAGTTTCCGGTATTAGAGTCCACATTTTGATACATTACAAAGTGATCTCTATGATAAGTATAGTCACCGTCCAACACCGTGCAGAGTTATTACAAAGCGTTATTGACTACATTCCCTGTGTTGTACTTTGCCTCCCCGTGACTTAGCTATTTTATAACTGGAAATTCGGTGTCCTTAATCCCCTTCACCAATTTCACCCATTCCCCCACTCCACCCTCTTTCCTCTGGCAACCACCCGCTTGTGCTCAGTGAGTCTGTTTTGTTTGTTCAATTGCTGTTGTAGATTACACAGTATTTGTCTTTCTCTGACTTATTTCACTTAGGAATAGTACCCTCTAGGTCCATCCTTGTTGTCACATGGCAAGATCTCATTCTTTCTTCTAATATTCCATTGTGTGTGTATGTGTGTGTATAACATGTGTGTATATATACACATATATGTACATACGCACACATACATGTACATATATACACACACATATACACAAAGTATCTTAAAAATTTTTTTAATGTGTTTTTATTTTTGAGAGAAAGAGGGGGTGGAGGGGCAGAGAGAGGGAGACAGAGGATTGCACGGTGACAACAGAGAGCCCAATGCGGGGCTCAAACTCACAAACCTCCAGATCGTGACCTGAGCCGAAGTCAGACACTTGACCAACTGAGCCACCCAGGTGCGCCTAGATTTATCCAATTTTTAATCTTTTCAAAGAACCAGCTCCTGTTTCATTGATTCTATTTTTCTGTTTTCAGTTTTGCTGAATTCTGCTATTTCCCTCTGCTTGACTTGTATTTGTTTTCCTCTTCTAGTTTTCTTTTAATGTTTTATTTATTTCTGAGAGAGAGACAGAGAGAGAGACAACGTGAGCAGGGGAGGGTCAGAGAGATATGGAGACACAGAACCCCAAACAGGCTCCAGGCTCTGAGCTAGCTGTCAGCACAGAGCCCAGTGCGGGGCTCAAACTCACGAACCATGAGATCGTGACCCGAGCCGAAGTCAGATGCTTAACCAACTGAGCCATCCAGGCGCCTCTACTCATCTAGTTTTTTGAGGTGGGTGTTGAGATTATTGATCTGAGACCTTACATCATTTCTAGTGTAAGCATCTAATACTATAAATTTCCCTCTCAGCACCACTTTGTGTCTCATAAATTTTGATGTGTTGCATTTTTCATTTTAATTTATTATTGTTGTTTAATATTCCACAGATCATTTCAAAGTGTCTTCTTTAATTTCCAAGGGTCTAGAGAATTTCTTGCTCTTTTTCTGATA